ATCGTACTCCTATGTTACAGCCACGCCCTTGTTGGTTAACACACCTCTTGATTGCGAAGTGTATACCCTGTTTTTATAGGTATCTACTTAGTATCCTTCTTAATATTAAAGCGTTTTAGCACTTTTTTACTTATTATCTACTAAGAGTACTAAAGCATATAACGTATTTCACAAGTAAGCGGGCCACACAAGTAAACAGTCTACCTTAACAATATTTTTATACTTAAATTACATTTTACTCTACAACACCTACATTAATTGATTAAATAATAAAAGAAATATTATAAGTTTTAACTTAGTAATCTTACTAGTAGTACCTTAAATGTGTTTGAATTTAAGACTATTAAATGAAGAAATCTACTGCGTTCATTGCCAGCGAGGGTTAGAAGCACTTTAGAGTTTTGAAGTATCGCTACATGTTGTAGCGGTATCCATATTCTGAATCTTATCGCCTGACATAGAACAAAAGAAGGGGTAATTCAAGGCAGAGATTTATATCCTGTTAGTATTCACTTTAATTCTAGCAAGAGATTTAAAGGGAAGACTCTACTTTAATCCTGCACACGTTAAGCAATAGTATGCAGTACTTATACAGTACTTATACAGTACTTATCTCAGGGGTCTAATACCAGGATGGGGCCGCTAAGAAGGTATGTAATTACCTGTATTCCACCACGCCACTTGGGCGTACTTACTCCTCCTACTTTGTGATTCACTGGATATTGTGACCACGGAGAAAGTCTTATTGGAGAACCCCTAAGAAATATACTTCTGTAAGTACTATGTTGTCGTCGATAATCCATGTTATGACTGAGTCTATGAGAGAATTCTATTTCTTGACAATTACTTCCCTACAGTGGACTTGTCAACAGTGGCGCCCAAACGCTTACGTCGTAGTAGTCGATGAGCATATACAGGAAGATGCGTACAACATTAGTATAACCAACACTTTGACTGAAACATATAGCGATAGACTTGGTGATCCAATGAACTCATGTTTGTGATGACGACAATTGGGAGGCGAAGAACCCTTAGACGCTCATCAATTTAATCCGTATGGTCAACCCATCACCTGGCGCCGCGAGCTAACGAAACCTCGCTGCTTGCACCAACTAACCAAACGGACACTCAAGCTGACAGCTAATTTATTGATATCTTCTATGTCAAACAAGGCTACTCAAACGGATTATTGGAGTTACAAAGGGTCCTTCGAGACCAACAATCTTCTTCATAATACATACCTGCCTGTCAGGAGCGGAAAATCGGGGCGCGTTGGATCATTCAGGAGAAACGAACTAGTTACCTACAAGAAGATAACCTCGGGCTGTGATATAATGGCCGGTATCTGTTTAGGTTTGCGACAACGAAACATTAAGAAACACTAGACGCGAAAGCTTGAAAGAATAGATAGCATCGCTATGAGACTTAATAATAATATATGATGCTAAGGGACTCCTGAGGTTGAGACCAGTCTCCGCAAGTGCTTTAGTGACGGCAAAATCCGCGGTTCGAACAAGCTCTGAATGAAGGAGCTGGTGTATAATGTATTCTTTGAGAACTAGTGTTATAACCATCGTAGAGTATTTGAAAGCGCCATCCTCTTCAATTGGTAGGAAAAAAGCGCTTTAACCAGCCATGAGATGGACGATTTGCGTTGGTTGTTTCTTGCGTACCACTGGACTCTAAAACAGCATCGGAACCAAAACGAAAACGTATGAAATGATGCTTCGAGTCGCTGGGAGACTGGGTGCCAATTTCAAGCACGAAGCTTCCACTGATGATGTCGGGGTTGATTTCGCGCCATGCATCAGTCTCCTCGCTTCCGCACAACGAGTAATCGTATTCTTGGAGCTCTAGATAAAGCCATATGGTTGTCACAAGTCCCGTGCATCAATGAACCATTTCGCTGAAGCCACCGAGGTATGATAGCGTAAGTTTGAGCCGACTACTGACCCGTAAAGATCCTCCTTTTAATGTCTGCCTGCCATTGTCAACAAACTGTAGTGTAGCGAGCCAGGCTGTATCCGTCCAGCACCAGGGCTTCCGAAATTTATCGCTCGGAGCTCTAGCACAAGAGATTTTAAAAACGTTTTCCAAGCTACCTCATTAGGAGGGCCTCGTTGCCGCAATCCGCCAGGAAAACTGGAACGTTGCGGGTCCTTTGTCAAGAGATCAAAAAGCAGTTTCATACGTCCTTACTCTACTTACTCTAGCAAAAAATTGTTTCCATTGCCTCGACAGCCTTCTCTCAACCATTAAATGGGGGACTCTCACTCAGAACTTCGAGTAGCGGCGACAAAAAAGGGTTAAAAACATTGCTTCAGTCAAGTCTAGGGCTTAAGCCACCTTGTCTAATTTCCAAATCAAACAAGAATACGAATAGTCTTGTTACGATGCCAAAGTAGCGGGGAAAGGGTAGAATTCTATGGTCGAATGAATAGTTAGTTGGCCGTCGGACTAAGTTATATATCACGTGCAGTTGATGTAGGGACCGACCTCTTTGAACCCGAGAAGGGAAGAACATCCTCTAATCTCTCACTTGTTACTCCTTCATGACATGGTCGCGCAAGCGTTGCCTTCCCAAAAATTACAGTCTTTCTACACTCAAGCCTTCACTACATAACCCGACTTTAGCCCATACTCCACCACCTCTGATTTCCACTTCGATATTCCCCAAGCAATCCTTGCCCTGTCTACTCCGATCCCTTCCGATTTACTGCACCTTCTCGCCTAACGTGGAACATGCCTAGGGCAGAGGTAAGTTATCTGTTAATCTTCTGGCTGAGATAGGTAGAATAACTAGAATGCGAATTTCTGTCCTAAGGTGCGCTGTCATGTTTTACCATAGGCAAAAATATGTACAGAGGAAAGCTCAAATGATTTGACTCTCGTTTTGACTCTAAGCTCAACTCCCTGGACAACGTCCTGTCACCACGCAATGACTATCGGGGATTTGAGCTGCTGAAAATGCTTGCACAACTTTAGCTTCTCAATATTCACCCCGGACGCCTCTTCGGCGTAGCCGTTATCTCTTCTCTCTCACGTCTAAAACTGTCCTTTTATATAAGAATCCAAACCGGCAGGACTGGACTGTTTGTAGGAGCCACCAGGAGGATCGCGACTCACGAACCCGCAGACTATTACTCCTTCTTTTTCTCTCATTTCCCCGACATACGATCTCTTAAGTTGTACCCCTAGCAATGCAACCCTGATTGTCAGACCGACGTCTTCCCACAGAAAACATGGCTTGTCATGCCGTCTCTTAGGACTCTCGGCCCCTAGCTCCACTGTGCGTAACTCAATTAGAATATCGGGAGACTTTATTACTCGCCAAAGTGCTACCAACGATCCTTGTACGAAAGTCTCCTTCCAAAACAAGGACCGTCACATCTTTTGGGATGCCCTAAGCCGGGACGAATTCTTCCATCCTCCCAGGTAAATACCATTCCTCACACGCCACAAGCGGTCGCTCCGGGAAGTGTACTAATGCCCTAGCAGCTCTCCGTCTTAAATCGTATCCCTTTGGGTAAATCATCCAACCAGGGCAAAGGACTTTATTAGCAAAGTCAAAATACGGATGCGGAGCGTTCGTGTCGACGCGATTCCAATCTACAGCAAGTTCACGTGGAAAAAAATGAACGTAAACTCGCCACCCGCATGCAGATTTGCATATTCTTGGATTGAATATCCTTGGGTTCGGCTCCTTTCTCTCCAGGGCTCACAAGGACCATTGCGCTTGGCATGTCTTCTCAAGATCTAAGCATGCGCCACGTTAGACTGCAGACTCGTTGAATTGGGTTATAAAATCTGGATTCCGGTACTGAAATGTCCAATTGGAATAGAGTAATATGGATTTTGTTCTCCTAATGTGTGCTTAGTTTCCTAGTCAAGGGTTTCAAGACTGCATATCGTACCATGGAGCCGCAAACCTTCGCCGAGAAACCCAAAATGTCAAGCAAGCCTTGGTGAAGCATCACGAGATATCAAAGACAACGTTGAAATTGTAGATACCTACCGGTTATTGTTCCGTTCATACAACAGCCTAAATTCGGCAATCGTTAACAGGGGAAGGCCAACCAGGTCTCACTGCACCCCGCAAAAAGGGAATAACCATAAAACTTTAATTGCACCTGGACTTTCTGTACAAGGAACTTAAGTGTAGTCACCTTACCCACGTCCAATCGCAATCCTACTTTCGTCTCATCTCATCGCTCGAAGCCCCACAGAACGTTCGACGCACTCCACACTGCCACTCTGGGGAATTGAGGCTTGGCTGCCCCTTGTATCGAGGGAAAGGACCTACGAAGTTAATCTGCTATGCTGTCCCAGAATATCAGGCCAAGGTCAATAGAGTGAGAGTGTCTTCCTCGAACGGCTCAAAGGAACATCTGCACCTGGATTGCATTTCAAAGACCGCAGCACTCTTGATGTGCAGACTTTTTCCATCAATCGAAGGCCTTGCTTTCATTGACATGGATTAAGTGACAAGCCACAAAGCTGTATCGCTTTAACTTACCAGGTAACTCATTGATCCACTCTTCAAGTGTCGGAACAAACGCATATGTTGAAACAAACTGAGTGCCAGCTATTGCACAAGCCACACCTAACAATTCCCATCTCAACTCGCGTGAAAAAATCTCACCGAACAACCTCAATGTCGCTGATCTTGTTAGTTTGTTATTGTAGCGGCACGATCGACCACCAAATCTTTTATGGAAGCCAATAATGCTACATTATTTCACTCACCGTGGCAAAATACTAAGTTCTTGAGCCTGGGATTCGCCAAGATGTCTTGCCTTAATTACATTATAGTCACGCCTCGCGGCTCACTACCATCCACCCGCTCTTCATCTACCATGGCAATTTTCCCGACGGAAGTCGGGTGCGGTTGAGTAGTACTCCGAGGGGTATGGCTATCTTCTATATAAGACCCATTGGCAATTTTCAATCGATCGTTGTTCGGCCTATCATTGTCTCAAGTACCATCAAATTTATTCATCATGAAGTACGCGATCGCTCTCCCGCTTCTTGCTACCACCGTTCTTGCGGCGCCTTTCTTGGAGGAGCGTCAAGATAGCTGCACCATTCCGGCCTCTTTCCCCAGCACGACGAACGCTAAATTGCCCGACCCCTTCACCTTCTTCAGCGGGAAAAAGGTCGCCTCTCTCGCGGACTGGCAATGCCGTCAGAAGGAACTTTCCGCTGCCATTCAGGCACAAGAGCTGGGTACTATGCCCCCTAAGCCTTCTAGCGTTACTGCGACTGGGTCGGGAACTTCCTTGTCCATCACCTCGACTGAAGGAGGAAAGTCTGTTTCCTTCTCAGTTACGATCAAGAAGCCAAGTGGAACAGGCCCGTTCCCAGCCATCATCGCATTCGGCGGTGCCAGTATCCCAATTCCGGCCGGTGTCGCCACCATCACCTTCAACAACGATCAGGTCGGTTCTCAAGCGAGCTCGAGCAGCCGTGGACAGGGCAAATTCTTCGATCTGTATGGATCTGGTCACAGTGCTGGTGCGCTCACTGCTTGGGCATGGGGTGTGGACCGCATCATCGATGGTCTTGAGCTTGTCGATACCGGCATTGATCCCAAGCGCGTTGGTGTTACGGGCTGCTCCCGAAATGGAAAAGGCGCCATGATTGCTGGCGCTCTCGTTCCCCGTGTGGCCCTCACCATTGCTCAGGAATCTGGTTCTGGTGGTGCTGCTTGCTGGCGTATCTCGGACTCGGAGAAAGCTGCTGGCAAGAATATTCAGACTTCTGGTGAAATCATCGGCGAGAACGTTTGGTTCTCCAAGAACTTCAACACCTTTGCGACCAAGTCGTCAACTCTTGCTACCGATCATCACGAACTCGCCGCTTTGATCGCTCCCCGTGGCTTTATCTCCATCGAAAACGACATTGACTGGCTCGGCCCTGTCAGCACCACGGCTTGCATGAAGGTCGGCCGTATGATCTATAAGGCGGTGGGTGCTGCAGACAATATGGGTTTCTCTCTTGTTGGTGGCCACTCTCATTGCCAGTTCCCGTCCTCCCAAAACACCGAGCTCAACGCCTTCATCGACAAGTTCTTGCTCGGCAAGAGCACGAGCACTGCCGGCGTGGAGAAGAGCAGCGCCAATGCTGATCCCGCCAAATATATTGACTGGACCGCCCCAACACTCTCATAGATATGAGGCATGGGACGGATGGAGAGGATTTCTTGTATATCTTGGGACCAGTGTATCTAAAACGCTCGCTTGTTGGTAGCCGGCAATGATGTACAAAAGGCTGAGACTGCTCTGGATATATGAAATATAAATTCTTGATCGAAGGATCTCGTGACATCTGCACAGTGACCCTTATCTGATGTTGTGTGTCCATTTAAGCTCAGCAGTTGGTGATTAAGACTCGCTAGTCACGGACGATCTCCGAAGGTCTGTGTAGGTGGCTGGGGGAAATGAATTTACCTTTTTGGGTCCAGCCATCTTGGGGAAAAGTTGAGGGGTAGATATTTGTATGTCAACTCAGAATGTATGCTAATATACAAAATCCGACTTTAAGCTTTCGCGTGGATGTTTCCAAGGGACGCCTTCTCGAAGCTGGCAAGCCCCCACTTCGCGAACATGCGCAAGAAATTTCTGGGAACTGTTTAAAGCTAGATAGGCCGGGCGTCCTCAGGGCCCTGGCGCTATCCAGAGTGTAAGGCCTGGTTGCAGTGAGCCAATTAGCAACTCGTGAAACTTGGAATATCGGCCTCAATCGTCTTCCCGGACAACTTCGGGGGGAATTGAACCAAGTCTAACTACGCTCCAGCCATGCTATGCATGAATCGCTTACCAGGATATCATGAATGTGATGCCACAGGACAATGTGATGAATCTGGAGGTGCCAGCAATTAGCGCATTATTGGCTCGGCAGAGGGGTGGTGCTGTGCCAGTAGAATTCCGAGATTCCGATGCCGTGGCCCAACGTCTCCGGCGTCAAACCATGTCAGGGGCGCTTGAACAACAAAAAGCCATGCCCCTCCTCTCGCGCAACTAGAAAATATGTTTCAGATCGGCCGTTGCGCGGGCGCCCCATGGTGAATGAGCAGCACCGCGCTGTGATTGGCGGGTTTCGTCACATAATCAATGCCAAGCCGCTAGCCGCGTTGGGCGGAGTTCTCCTCGCACCTCTTGACTCTGCACTCAGTCGTTCGCTCTCGCCAACACCGTCAACCCCATCTCCCAAAACGACTTGTCAATCCGCCCGCATCTTATCTCCGCCCGCAACACGCTTTTTACAACGCGTGTTCCGCCCTCCTCCCCCTTGAGCGCGCTTTCGCGCCCTCTCACCTCGCCACCCTGAATTTGCGTGGGCCGCCTCAGCCTGCCCATCAGCGCGACATCACGGAGAGCGCACCCCCCGGCCGTGCTCCATCAGCCTCATTCACCGAGGGCCCCCGCGAGCAACAACACCACCCGAGGATGTTATAGCAGCCTCTCGAACGCGCCCTTTCACCGACCGCGACTGTCATTCCCTGCCAACCGCGCGCTTGCTGCCCACACTCACTTAGGAGCGCCGCCTGTGCTAAGGGTGTTTCCCGTCCAGACTTCACCATTCCTGCGATAGAGCACAACCTTCCCTCGTTCTAGCCATCATGGCTTCTGTACAAGCCGCGCCAGGTTTTGCTGCCCCTGGGCAGCTGCCTGGTAACCTCACCAAAGAGATGGTCCACTCCGCCTATCTGGTATGTCAATGTTCCTCCTCTTCTTTCCCATATGTTTAACGCGCATCGCCATCCAAGAAGTGATTCACTAACAAACTGTGGTACAGAAATACAATGAGATGAAAAATTCAGGCACACCTGAGAACGATCCTGAGTTCATCAAGACGCGCAACCTGCTCGCTGCTGTACAGAGGAAAACCATATATGATAAGCAACAACAAGCAATGATGAAGCAGCGGCAGCAGGGCCAAGCCGGTCAGCCACGACCACAACAAACTCCGCAGCAGAACGGCGCCACCGCGGCGCACATGTCAAACGGGACAAAATCAGGAGCAACAACCGATGGCCCTGTCCCCACTCCTACGACAGCGTCAAGCGCACCGCTTACCGGTATCCACGTAGCAACGGCAGGCGCCCAAGCCCAAGGCTCTGGGGACAATCAAACCCCAACATCAGCCGGTGCGGTTGGCGGCACTGCCTTTGCTCCCGAGCAGCTGATGCTCCTGCGGAAACAGATTGCAGCGTTCAAACATCTGTCCAAAGGCCTGCCATTGCCCCCAAACATGCAACAACAACTGTTCGCATCTCAGCAGGCTAAGAAACCCGCGACTCCGACCGAAGCTGTTGCAGCAGCGTCAGAGGCACTTGACGAAGCCACGCGAAGCACAAATGCGCCTGACGGGGATGCGATAAATCCTCCCAACACGAAGAAGTTTGCCCCACCACCCACTTCATTCGATAAACCCACCGGGGGTTCATACATCAAGAAACACATGAACTACATCATGCATACTAAGCGAGCCAATCGCCCACATATACCGGCCTTCATGCCCCTTGGATACGACACTGATGAGGTGCGCAAGACGCGATCGAACATACTATACAATCGAGTCGAGAATAGGAAGGCGGAGCTGGAGAAACTTCAGGCAAATATTGGATCCTGGGATACCAGCAAGACAGATACGCCCGAGGATGACGGGAAAGTGAAACTTGCTTTAACAATCGAGTACAAGATGCTCAATCTCCTTGAAAAGCAGCGAAATCTCCGCAAGAAGATAAGTACAGAGATGATCTATGCTGACAACCTCGCTATGACTGCAAATCGCGCGATATACCGACGGTTGAAGAAACAATCTCTCCGAGAAGCTCGTATTACTGAGAAGCTGGAGAAGCAGCAACGCGATGCTCGGGAAACAAAAGAGAAGAAGAAGCACCACGACTTCATCGAATCGATCCGGAAGCATCGCGGTGAGCTGAGTGAGTCTGGCTTGGTTCAGAGGCAACGATTGCAGAAGCTAGGCCGCACCATGATGACGACCCATCAAGCCATTGAGAAGGAAGAGCAGAAGCGGGTCGAGCGGACCGCAAAGCAGCGTCTCCAAGCTTTGAGGGCCAACGACGAAGAGACATACTTGAAGCTCTTAGGACAGGCGAAGGATACTCGTATCACTCACCTGTTGAAACAGACTGACGGCTTCTTGAAGCAATTATCTGCATCCGTCAAACAACAACAACGGAAACATGCCGATCGCTACAGCCTTCCGAACCAGATCGAGGAAGAATCCAGCGAAGAAGAAGACGAAGAGTCTGGAGACGAGGCACCCGGAAAGAAGGAAAAGACAGACTACTACGAAATTGCTCATCGCATCAAGGAAGACGTCCTGGTACAATCTTCAAATTTGGTTGGTGGTACTCTCAAAGAATACCAGATCAAGGGTCTTCAATGGATGATTTCGCTCTACAACAACAACCTGAATGGTATCTTGGCAGACGAAATGGGTCTCGGGAAGACCATTCAGACCATCAGTTTGATCACATATCTCATCGAGAAGAAGCATCAACCTGGTCCATACCTCGTCATTGTGCCGTTGAGCACATTGACCAATTGGAACAACGAATTCGAGAAGTGGGCACCGAGCGTGCAGCGAATCGTCTACAAGGGTCCTCCAAACGCTCGAAAACAACATCAACAGCAAATTCGTTGGGGCCAATTTCAAGTCTTGCTAACAACCTACGAATTCATTATCAAAGATCGGCCTATTCTGAGTAAAATCAAATGGGTTCATATGATCGTCGATGAAGGTCATCGTATGAAGAATGCCAACTCGAAGCTCAGCAGCACCATCACGCAATACTATACGACGCGGTACCGCCTCATTCTCACTGGAACACCTCTTCAGAACAATTTGACTGAACTTTGGGCTATGCTTAATTTCGTTCTTCCAACCATCTTCAAGTCGGTCAAATCGTTTGATGAATGGTTCAATACTCCATTCGCAAATACCGGGGGCCAAGACAAAATGGAGCTTACTGAAGAAGAGCAGCTGCTCATCATTCGTCGATTGCACAAGGTGCTTCGTCCATTCTTGCTGCGTCGTCTCAAGAAGGACGTCGAAAAGGATTTGCCGGACAAGACTGAGCGCGTTATCAAATGTAACTTCTCCTCTCTCCAGGCGAAGCTGTACAAGCAACTTGTCACGCACAACAGGTTGGTAGTTAGCGATGGAAAGGGAGGTAAAACCGGAATGCGAGGCTTAAGCAACATGCTTATGCAGCTACGAAAACTTTGCAATCACCCCTTCGTCTTCGAAGAAGTGGAGGACCAGATGAATCCTGGCAGGGGAACCAACGACCTCTTGTGGCGAACAGCCGGCAAGTTCGAATTACTTGAGAGGATCTTGCCTAAGTTTAAGGCTTCGGGTCATCGTGTCCTGATCTTCTTTCAAATGACACAGATCATGAACATCATGGAAGATTTCCTGCGACTCATGGGATTGGCTTACCTCCGTCTCGACGGGTCGACAAAGGCGGATGACCGATCCGAGCTCCTCAGACTGTTTAATGCGCCCGACTCACCATATTTCTGCTTTCTCTTATCAACACGTGCCGGTGGTCTAGGTCTCAACCTACAAACCGCAGACACCGTCATCATTTATGACTCCGACTGGAATCCTCATCAGGATCTACAGGCCCAAGATCGTGCCCATCGTATTGGTCAAAAGAATGAGGTCCGGATCCTTCGTCTCATTACATCCAATTCCGTTGAAGAAAAGATTCTTGAGCGAGCAAATTTCAAGTTGGATATGGACGGCAAAGTCATTCAGGCCGGTAAATTCGACAATAGGTCGACTAACGAAGAACGAGAGGCAATGTTGCGGATCATGTTGGAGTCCGCCGAGGCCGCAGAAAACCTCGAGCAAGATGAAATGGACGACGATGATCTCAATATGATGATGATGCGGTCTGAAGATGAGTTGTTGCTCTTCCAAGAGATGGATCGCGATCGCGCTAAGAATGGTACATATGGTCCAGGCAAGAAACATCCACGTCTTCTAGCCGAGAATGAGTTACCGGATATCTATATGACCGATGACAATCCTATTGTTGAGGAGATTGAGGAAACAAATTTTGGTCGCGGCGCTCGTGAGAGAACTCGCGTCAAGTACGACGATGGTCTCACAGAGGAACAATGGCTCGAAGCTGTTGACAACGATGAGGATTCCATCGAGGCTGCCATCGCCCGGAAAGAAGCCAAGATCCAGAAACGAACCAATAACAAGAGCAAGCGCGTGCAAGAAATTGGAGACTCCCCACTACCGTCTCGAGAGAGCTCGGAGTCACCCGCCCCGAAGAAACGTGGACGAAAGCCTAAAGGCGAAAAGCGAAAAGCAGACGAGGCATCGCTTGACGGCGACCCTGCACCTCGTAAACGTGGTCGGCCCCCACCAAACAAGGTCCAGGAGACCCTCAGCGCTGAAGAGCGTGCCTTGCTCCAGAAGGTCCTGAATGCTGCATACGAGGCCTTGAACGATCTTGAGGAAGAATCGACCGAGGACGACGTCCCGAACCGTGGCATTATCGATCCGTTCATCGAGCTGCCAGACAAGTGGGATTATCCTGACTATTACCAGATCATCAAGCAACCAATCTGCATGAACAACATCAAGAGGAAGATTAACAGGAAAGAATACCAGAGCCTCAGGCAGTTCCGCCAGGATATTGGGCTCCTATGCAATAATTGTCGAACGTACAACGAAGACACGAGTTTGCTTTACGCAGATGCTAATAATATTGAGCAAGCCTGTCTTGATAAACTTCGAGCGGAGACCGAGGATCATCCAGAACTGCAGGACTTTGATGATGCAGCAAGCATGAACGGCGGTCTTTCTACTGCGATCACATCAAGTGTTGGGACGCCTCGAGCTATTATGGATGGCCGTTAGTACCCCTCCTTTCCGCCCACTCTACTTTATTTACTCACAGTCTTCAGGGTGATTGGAACAATACCCCATAGACCTTTCTATTTTTTTTTGACACGATAATCTGATTTCTAATCATGACGGTTGTTGGGCACGACCCTCGGGACGCATGAGGATCTGGCTGTACGGAACGAGTAGTGCTCAACAAAAGACACTTTCTTTCCTTCTTTGCCTTTACACCTCACCCTTTTTAAAGCTGCGTTTTCATGCTGTATAACTGGCGAAGGCTGGGCATCTTTTGTGCTTTCTTTTAACCTCTTCGAGGCAATTTTTTCTTTCTTCATTGATGGGCGGGTCCACTGGTTTGGGCGCTTGCTAAGGTTGACTTACTTTGCTACTCAAATAGGGCGTATCCCTTGATGAGTTGGGTCTATGGACGGATGCTAGCGAGTGAGGTTTTTGGGGTTTGATGGGAGCTTTAGCTCTCCTCAGCTGCAGTTGCTGATAGCATGGTCGCAGATAGGATGGCCAGAACTGAGCTACAAATGTGAAACCTCTTGTTCGTCCAATGAACGATGATAGCAAACTAGCGGTTACAATCAAACTTCTTGATAGATATATGTTATGCTTGTGCACCTAAAAATCCATTTGAATTGTTTCCTATGCGGGCAATCTCACACCAAAGATATCACCGTCTCCCCCTCTTTTCCTTCTCTTTCCCGCGTCCACTCCCTCCACCCCTAGTAATATCCCTCAAATCATTCTTACTCAAACTCAACGTCCCACCCCTAAACCTCCCTACCCCAGGTCCTCCAACCCCTTTCTCCCTCTCCCTCATATACTTCTTCACTTTCACAGCTTTCTCCAGAATCACGCCGTTCTCCCTTGCTTCCGCGCGTCGTTTATCTTCCCTTTGCTTCGCTTTCGCTATGATACCCTTCCGGTGCGCCATGGGCATGTTTTTCTGAGTGTGCACGGAAGATTTTGCGCCGAGGGTCAGGAGATGTAGGTCTGTGGACCTGTGACGCTGGGATCCGGTTAGGGAGAGGGCAGGCGTGGATATGCCGGAGGAGGCCGAGACAGAGGCTGAGGAGAGGAGGTGGGAGTCTCGGAGGAGACGTTGGAGGGCAAGATCATTTTTTAGGTGTAATGTTTCAGAAGGGTCGTCTCTATCTCCTTCTACTTTCTTCGGCTTTGTGGATTGGGGGTGGATTTGGTGGGTTGAGAAGGGGGGCTTAGAGGACTGTGGGGTGTGTTAAATGAGAGAGAAGCGGGGGAGGAGGTTAGGGTGGATGGGAACGGACCATGAATGCCCGCATTTCTGCTTTTGAGGCCCTATCACCTGCCAGTCGGGCGCTGGTGCATTCTACGACTTCGACGTCGTCTTCAGAGCTTATGCCTGACCAATCCGACTCCCCATCCAGCTCTTCTTTCCCACTTTCCGGCTCTTGTGTTATCTTCTGCTTCTTGGGTTCAGCATCCAAAGGCTTAAACCTTGCTTCAAATGCTCGTCGGAAAATATCTTGCATGTCATCTCTATTCGAATGATCAGATTCTAAAGACGGCGAGGGCGAGGGCGATCGTGAAGGTTGCTCGAATTGCTCACGGGTTATGCGCTTCCGTTTCCCGAGCGTTGGTGCCATGGTCATGAATTTTGTGTTGTAAATGTCAAAGTTGACTTCGAAGAACATGAAGAACCAAAAATTCCCACACGCCAAGATGTCCGCCAAGCATCGCGGTCTATCGCGGGGTACCTCCGCTTCCCCAACCCCAACCCCAACCCTACCATCCCTCCCTCTCTAACCCACTTCTCTCTGAATCTAACCCAAAATGACACGCTTCCGCCCCTGCATCGACCTTCACGCCGGCAGCGTCAAGCAGATCGTCGGCGGCACACTCTCTGACACATCATCCGCCTCCCTCAAGACAAACTTCACGTCTGAGCATCCATCCTCGTACTATGCGTCGCTATATAAACAGCACAACCTCACGGGCGCACACGTTATCATGCTTGGGCCTGGAAACGAGGATGCGGCGAAGAAAGCGCTGGAGGCGTGGAAGGGGGGATTGCAGGTTGGGGGTGGGGTTACGGAGGGGAATGTGAGGGAGTGGGTTGCGTTGGGGGCTGAGAAGGTAAGCTTGAATGAAATTCTTTACATGTGGAGGATGGGGAGGGGGCTGATGCTGATTTGGGTTATAGTAGGTGATAATAACGTCGTATCTCTTCCCATCTGCCACCTTCTCGCCCGAGCGTCTCCAATCTATACTTGCGGCCCTCGACAACGACAAAGAGAAACTCGTCATCGATTTGAGCTGTAGGAGGAGAGGGGCTAGTTGGTTCGTGGCGACCAATAAATGGCAGACGATTACGGATTTTGAATTGACTCAAGGTGTATTCAGTATTCCCTTCCCCTTCCCCTCTCCTCCCTCCATCCCTTCAGACATCCCTTAGGCTGGGCTAACAGCAAAACCAACAACAGAATCAATATCTCTCCTCGAACCCCACTGCTCCGAATTCCTAATCCACGCCGCCGACGTCGAAGGCCTCCAACGCGGCATCGACCACGACCTGGTATCCAAGTTAGCTGAATGGTGCAGTATCCCCGTCACCTACGCTGGCGGGGGTCGCAGCATCGAGGATCTTGAACTCGTGAAGATACTGAGTCATGGAAAAGTCGATTTGACAATTGGTAGTGCGTTGGATATTTTCGGAGGCGGCGGGGTCAAGTTTGAGGATTGTGTGAAGTGGAATGAAGAGCAGCTCCAGGAAGAGGTGGGGAGGACTTAGGAGATCGCGACAGATTTGTGATAAAGAAGGGGAGACTGGGCTGTACTGACAGGACATGCCTTTGTAGAGGGCGCCAGAAAAATGCTGAGTCGGTGAAGCCAGTCAAAATTTCAAAGCTTCCATGCCCACTCTTTGCGCCTTGCTCTATGCCGCTTCTTATTTCTCACTACCACTCTTAAAGCATCGCGGCGAGCGTCACAGACCAGAACACAAACAATGGTGAAAGGGAGTTTCATATTGTAAAAGCTTTCCAGATATTCACAAACGAAACGAAGCATATTTTCTGCCCGTGAACCATCCATCCATACAATATCAGATTCCCCCTTCCACCTTCCAATCTCCTCCTAACAAGGTTCATGGTGTGTATACAACGAACGTTTCCAAAGAACATCTACCACCATCTACTATCCACAACATGCCCATTTTGGTTCTCCACTTCCACGTGCTCTTGATACGCTTAGAAAGGCGGTTTAGCGTTCTTAAGCAGCATCTCAAAGTAGGCCTGGTTCCAGGTACCAGCCTCAGGAGCCGGCTTGAACGCATCGTCCTTTCCGCAGTACGAGTCGTAGCGGGTAGCACCAGTATCGGAGGTACCATCGGACTCACCACCGGGCTTGACCCAGACGAAGGCGTCGGTGAGGGAGTCGCCGGTGCTGCTGGTGGGACGGACACCGAAACCGGCGCCGTTAACGTTGCACCAGTCACCCCACTCCTTGCGGAGGCCGGTGACGGCGTTGCGGCCTGTGTCGACGATGGCCTGGGACGGCATGCCGGCGCTCTTGAGCTCGGGGGAGAAGGCCTTGACGTAGAGCTTCTCGTTCTGGCATTTGTTCCATTGGGCGTCGGTGGCCTTGGAGAACTCTCCTGGTGATAGGTCCCAGGCGTTCCAGCCGGCGACGTTGGTGGCGAAACCGCGGACTTGCTTGGGAGAACCGGCATCCTTATAGACGGAAGCAAGCATCTTAGCTCCGGGTTCTGTGGCCATGTTAGTGTAAGATTCATTACAGTGAAAGTATGTCTAAACGTACTGAGGTTGTCGTTCCAGCCGAGCCAGCCTCCGTGGCCAGCATCGATGTACATGGCGATGTTGGGGAGATTAAGCTGCTTAAGAGCGTACGCAACACCCTCCTTGTAGCCGGCGGCGGAGTCCTTGCAGGCTTGCTTGTCGGCGTTGGTGACCAAGTTGGGAAGGGAATCGGGCTCGATAACGAGGGAGATGGCCGTATTGGGATACTTCTTGAAGATGGCGACAATAGCTATCCTGGAAGTTAGCTGTACTCATTTTCTCAACTCAAAAGCTACAGGAGCACTTACGATCAATGTACTGGCTCTTGTAGGTCGCAACATCACCAGCAGCAAGTTCACCGTTAGAGGCCTTAGCAGCACAATCACGACCAGGAAGGTCGTAGATGACCATAGCAGCGATCTTATCGCAAGGGATGTCCTTTAGGTTGTCTTCGATGACTGAGATACGGGCTCGGGTGTCGCTGAAGATGACTTAGTGAAATGGCATTTATTACTTCTCAGAGAAACTCACATCCACAAGTAGGTTCCGACTTCAGCAACCTTGGACGCCTTGGCAGCCAGAGCACTGTCGGTCATGGAAGCAGCAGCCGCGATGACCTCCTTAGAGTACTCCTTGTTGGCATAGATGGACCTTGAAGCAAAAGGATTGCCGGAGAGAGTGACGGGAGTGGCACAAGCCGCCGCGTTGGCACGAGCAGTAATGGGGCCTTGTTCGACGGGGCTGGGAGCAGCGAGAGCGCCACTGATGGCAGATGCCACCAAGGCAGAGTAGAGACCCTTCATGTTGACGACCAGAAGTGAGGACTTCTCTAGGATGAGTCGATGCCAACTCTGGGGGGGTGGAAGAGTGTCTTATATCGTTACTGGCTCATGGCTAGACTCAATTGCACATATACAACACTTTACTGAATTAGGCCGAATATCTCATTAGGAAGCAGGCCCGTAAACTGCGGACATGGAATGTGCTCATGGGTCTGTGCGTTTTGGCGTTGACACGGTGAGGCTTAGATGACGATCCATAATGGAGGTGTGGATATCCACTATAGCAGAGTTTGCAATCGAATGATCGGGGAGTACGGAATATGGTAAAGACCAATCCAGAAGTGGCGTTTCTCGGAACTTTTTGAGCCCTTCTCTTGACTCTCCGCATATCCAGCCTTTCCAGTGAAGTACAAATTGGCGAGTGTGGAGAGGTAAGAGCAATCGTTACTACCGAAGGTCAGTAAATGGCAGCATGAGGTTTGATAGGACAATCTGATTTTCCTGGAAAGTGTTCTGGACTAAGTCATAAAAAGTCAAGTAATGTGTTTGGCTGGGAAAACTGACCTGTAAGGGCCGATAGATGACAGTCAACTTGAGACGGCCTGTAGCTTCGGAGAGCCTGTTCCCTCGGAACGCTTACCCCGCGATCTCTTCTGTGTGACAGATGACCCCTGTCGATAGATCTTACAAATTTAAAATTTGCAGAAAAGCTTCCGCATGCTTCGTGCGACATGTCCACGAGATCATAGCGTGCGGGTAGCGACATAGCTGTACTGTCAATTCAGAGGCATCATAGATGAAACATCCACCCCTGAAACATATTCGTCCAGCTTCAGTAGTAGAGTGAGGATTTTACATGGGGCCAGATACACGGCTGTTTCAGCTGTAAATTTTAGACGCCTAGAGCCATCATTCAAATCGGTGTTGCACAGAAGAAGACTATTCAAAAGGCACTGATGTATTGGAGGAATATCCATATGGCGAATATTGTTTGATAGAACCTCAATAGTGGAGAATAGAGACGAAATGGGGTTGACTGCTCCGTAATATCGCCCTGCAAATTGTTAATAAAGGTGACAAGCTTTGAGCAACGCCGGTTCCAGGCAGGTACTCCTGGAGAAAACCCGGCGTAACGTAGACGGAGAAACATTCTGGAAAGATATCGAACACATGATGATCTGATGATATTAACGACTGGGGTTGTGAGGCTCATGGCGCCATGCATTTATCCTGAATATGCCCCACACTTGACCATCGTAGTGGTGTCCCAGAGGGGTTTGCCAAGGCCTTGTACTGCTCGTCTCCTATCCGAGTCTTGAGTGATTGGTGTGTGAGATGGAAGTGGCAAGCTTCTAGAATATTAGAGAACCTTTCCGGAGGCGAAGTGTGGGAGACCCCGTCTTGGGCGATCGTGATAACACAATACGGTATTAAATTCTGGTCTGAATAACGTCGCTACTTACGTGCCATACAATGAGCTACGCTGAGTGGTCTCATAGGAGCTATCCTCGTGGTGCTCCCCGAGTTCCCCGCTTCCCCAACCGTACCGGAAGTCTCAGATCCCGGGAAGATCGTACGTTGTACTAGAGAGGTTGAGCCATTTTCAGAGGCAAAATTACAATGTCAAGACAGATGGTGGTCTGGCATCGCATGCTATCATAAAACATCAGTCCCTGGATGCAAGAGAGCTGATGCTGTGGCCAGATCCGTGGTCACCATCACCAGTGAAGTTCTCCGCAGACTCGTCTCCGGGCTCAACGGTCTTTGCATGTTCGGGGTAATTCAGGGATAGTATAATGCCAATGCCAGTTGGTGGGGGTGCTGCAGTCCTCGCAATACGGGTGATGTTGTAAGTGGTTGAATTGAGAGACATGTTTGAAGTAAGAATTAGCATTAATTTAAAGTTTTCCCGTGACTACTAGTTCCCTCTCGGCTCCCTGAAGGGGGAAGCGCCTGTGGCCTACCCCACAGTCTCAATTGGGATATATTATAGTGAGAGTCTCCAGAAGTTGTGCGATGTGCGATTACGCTGGTGGCACCGCTTCGAGTGCTTCAAAGTTGTAATAATTCGAGTCTAGTACCTTCAGGTACCTGAACGGTTGCCGCCACACACAGGAGTCTCCATCATGACGACCCAGTCGCATCAAACAAACTACTGGGACCCAGGGTTCCGACCGCCTATCCTCAATATAGGAGACGGTGTCTCGGCAGATCGACAGGTAGACGCCACTTTATCCAAACAACCATGTACCTCAACACTGGGGTGATGGTGGCTTGGCGCGCCGCTTGAACAATATGAAGGTCAAATTCTCCCATATAGCAAGTAAGAGTTATATAGTATCGTAAATCACGCTAGGAGAACATAAGCCTCTCCGCTGCAACCGAGTCCTGTCATTCCCTTGCGCGTGCGCACTCTCCAACGATGCATTTGTTACGGTCGAAAGGATGATTGTGGGCAGGTTTTGGCGCGTGGCATGACGCGAAATCTGTTCAGGAGCGTCATAGTTGCACTACGTGATTATGCTGTTAAAAGGGAAAGCTGTTGATCAGCTCTAGTCACCCTATCCTTCCGTGTCTACTCCTACAAGCCTCACATGTAATGACATAGTTTTGGCTTGAAATGGTACCACAACCTTAGAATAACGCCGGTTCTCTGCAATAACCCAACCAAACGAAATGCGATGAAAATGAGACCCTCCGCGCCGAGACACCACCAAGCCCACGTTTTAAACGTTATTAGGGCCAGGTCCTTTCCCTTGATCCAGTAAGAGATGCGGTTTCAAGAATCCATCGTCTATCTGTTTGAAAGCTCCCGCTGGATCTTGGGAGAGATCCGATATAAGCTGTTTAACAGCGCCAGTAGCACTTGCAACTCTGGAAGGTTCCCCACTACCGCTGTTGCTGCCCACCCCAGCTCTAGAGGCGATTCCAGATGTTGGGTAAGGCGATGCTTCTGGCATGCCTAGAGGAGAAGGCACCCGATTTGGTGATCTTCGGGCGGTAGGTGGAAGATCGAGATCCGCATCATCATCGTCATTGCTCCCACTATCAGCAGGGCTTAGAAGACCTTGATCGGCGCCATCTGGTCGCCTTGGTTTACTCGAGTTTCGTCTGGTGGCCAAAGCGTTTGGTCGAGATGGCGGGCTATGTCTGTTGAGGGACCCACTAGAGTATATTCCATCCTGATCCTGAACCGGAGAGAGAGCAAATCCATTTGAGCTCAGTCGCGGTGTGTGGCCAAACCCTTGGCCTTTGTTGCGGGAATAGGTACCACCACCGACTACCTCGATGTCGAATTCGTCATCTGAATCGATCTCCTCTACCACGCCAGTTCGGATACCCAAGATCTCTAGCATGCGGGCCGTAGTTCCCCCGAAAATAATCACGGTTAAGACGACAACGACAAGGACAGTGGCACGGAGGGTATCTCCGTTAGTCCCTGAAAGACCTGCAGCGAGAGCGACTCCTACGGCTCCCCGAAGGCCCGCCCAGAATATCATAGCTTGGTGCGAGTAAGGGAGCTCCTCTCCAGCGTCTGGTCCATGGCGTCGTTGGCGATATCGCATGAATGCGTTGATAACCCGGGAAAGGGGAAAGACAGCACACCATCGAGCCGCACATATGCCTACAACCGTGATAAGAATGAAGAGGGGTTTATAATCTAACTGGGTATCAGTGAAGAGAGAGAGACCAAGGTAGATGAATATGAAGTTCTCCGATAATTGGGCGGTGACCTGGAACACAAACTTGGTGGTCAATTGGGTGCGCCGTGACATGTTGAGGTAGGCGTAATGCTTCATGCATATGCCACAGAAGAGTAGAGAGACAATACCTGCGTAGAGGGTTAGGTAGTAGTCAAACAGCTAGTGGTAATACACTTACCAGACATGTGAATGGCATTAGAGAAGAAGTAGGTGGCGTACGCGATGAGAATGATCAGACAACTCTCTGTCTTCGGGAATCGCCTGACGTAGGTGAACTTCAGAAGTAAGGAGGCTCCAATCCCAACCATAATGCCAATAAAGAGACTTCCGAAGAAGACACCGAAGAAGATTCCGAAGGCTTCGAAAAGGCTGAGGATGCTGAGAGACTCTCCTCCGTCCTTGTACTTTTGCGCCGTTTCAAACAATACAATAGCGATGGCATCGTTGAGGATAGACTCGCCGAAGATTATCGTGTACAGTTTAGGTTCGACTTTGTAGGTGTTGAAAATAGCGAGGATAGTCACAGGATCGGTAGCGGAAAGGGTTGCGCCAACCGACATGGCTTCCACGAAGGTAATCTTGAATCCATCAAGAGGAATCCTCGTCCATAGGAATAGTATGATACCTAGAACAAGGGCCGAAATAAAGGTGCCGAGAAACGCAAAGGTAAGGATAGTTCCGATATGGCGAAAGAAGTTGCCCTGTAGGTGGTCAATGGTCTGTGGCATGTAGGTAGACGTCATGTAGCTCACTTGATGGAGTTCAAATCCAGATGAGAGGATAATGGGTGGGAGGAGCAGGTTGAAGAAGAACTGGTAGTCAAAGCTAACAGAACCAAGGATGGACTCTACAGCTGTTAGTCGAAGTACTAAGCCAACGACCATGCCTGCGCAGAGTTAGTCTCGCTTTCACGGCGTGGATATGGGGACCAGCGGACCAGCAAAGATAGAAAGCACAGTTTCGTGCACTGCCTGTATTTTCCGTGTTTGGAGAATGTAGCTGGTGAAGAGTGCAATGATGAGCAGGACAATCAGGATGGAAAGCGCCCATGATGTGAAGATCTCCTTCTGTCCTGCCTCGGGTTCTGCATGGTGCGTTAGGCTCGAGAGGGAGGGTTGCAGAGGAAATCACGGGCTCGAGGACTGACCGTCAGGGTCTGCATCGCTAGCTTCTCGTTCTGTAGGAGCAGTTTGTCAGTTTCCTTGCTCTACAGGGGGTGGAAGGGGGGTTCTTTTGAGGGGTGCACACTGAGTATCTCGGCAACAGCCCACCCCACAGTCGAAGCCATGTTGGGCTCTTAAGGCCAGGCTATCATCGGCAGCCGTGATAGAAGATGCGCGCAAAGGGTATGCAGATGGAGAAGGGACTGTTCGAGGTCGACGGGACAAAGGGGGGGGATGTTGGAGAGGACTGAATGGCGGCCTGGAGAGGTCAGAGAGTGCAACGTTTCACCACGCCTCGCCTTGCCGTCGACGCGGGGGACAGGCACGTCTAGATGGGATCGAGGTGACGGGAGCACAATAGGGGAAATAGAAAAGCAAGGTGAGAGCAGCAACACGGAGGCGCGTAAGAGTCGGCGCCTGTACGCGGGTATCCTGCGCTCCCTGGTTTGGTGATGCCGCGCAGGTGCAGAGAGCCAGGGCTTCTTGGCGAGGTTTCGCACCGCCACAATCTCGGTTCGGCCTAGTGTCCGAGTGCGCAGGGATCACTGGATCACTGGATGCAGCCCCCAGATCGACGTCACGGCCAGGAACCAGCTGCGGTAGGGCATGACCACTTGCGGTAGGGCATGACCACTCACGACATCACCTGCCACCGCAATTCACCTTTCGCTAGCTGCATCACGGCCTAGCCCCTCCTTTATTCCTACCTCTGCCCTTGCTCCGCACTCTCTCTGGCATCTTTTCTGTCGAAACTCGTCGTGAGGACCACGATTGTCTGCCAAGATCTCACGATTCCCTTCGCTGCCCGTTGCGACACCTCAGGCTCGGAATGGCATACTCGGTGCTTTTCCGCAACACCGAGCTCGACAAATAGCATCCTTTCAAGCCACCTTTTCACCAAGCCACCGCTTCCTATTCTCGACTACCCTCGTCGCCTAAGCCATCCACCAATCGTCCCATCCGCATCCTCACCTCATTCAAGCCACTCCACGTTGCACCGGCGCGAGCCACACGACCACCGGCACGCTCCGCCAGTGAAGCCATGGCTCCTCCATCCGGTTCGTCTCCCTCCTCCTCAGCCCCGCACCAGCACCCTCCGAATGTCGATGGCACGGCAGCTTCACATCCGAAAGTGGTATCCTTCAGGCGCAGCTCCTCGCCGAACCGATCCTCGATGGACATTATATCAGAAAACTCGCCTTTAATTCAACCAAGAACCTCAGATGACTGCGATTCGACCCTCAAGGCAGTCTCCCCGATAGAGAGCGACGACTGGCAAGGAGACACGGAAGACTCAAAGAGCAGCTGGTATCTGCTCTTATTAACACTCGGTGGGCTCGGCTTGCAGATAGGGTGGTCGGTGGAAACGTCAAATGGATCGGTAGGCGCGGCCTCTTCCTCCCCTTTGCAGCCTCTAGCTGACTTCGTAGCCTTACTTACTCTCTCTCGGCCTGAGTAAATCTCTCCTCGCGCTCGTTTGGATCGCCGGTCCCCTCTCTGGTACTCTCGTACAACCTTATGTCGGCCTGAAAAGTGACAACTGTCGGATACGATGGGGCAAGAGAAGGCCATTCATTATTGGCGGTGCAATAGCAACTATTCTGTCTCTTATGATACTCGCCTGGACGAGGGAAATCGTTGGGGGGTTTTTAGGCATATTCGGCGCTGATAGATCATCCCCAGGAGTAAAGAATTGCATCATACTATTCGCTGTTGTTTTCGTTTACGTGCTAGACTTCGCTATCAACGTCAGTAAGTACCAAGACTCGCTCCCCCAAGTGCCCGAGCGAGCGCCTTGGCTTACGTCCTTGTAGTCCAGGCAGGTATTCGTGCCTACATAGTCGACTGTGCACCTACCCACCAACAAGAATCTGCGAATGCTTGGGTGATGCGAACCTCGGGCGTCGGCAACATTCTTGGCTATCTTGCGGGCTACGTCGAACTGCCCAAGTACCTTCCCTGGCTCGGAGACAGCCAATTCAAAGTCCTCTGTGCCATCGCCTCATTTACCATGGCTGTCACGGTTGGGATCAGCTGCAGCACCGTCCACGAGCGCGACCCTAGATTCGAAAGGCCTGCCGAATCGCAAGCCGGCCTCATGGCCTTCTTCAGATCCCTATTTCGCTCAGTTCGCAAGCTTCCTCCTCAGATTCGGAAAATCTGTGAGGTTCAATTCTTCGCCTGGATCGGCTGGTTTCCTTTCCTCTTCTACATAACCACCTATATTGGCGAAATTTATGCTGAGCCCTACTTTGAGGCCAATCCTCACATGTCGGATGCCGAGATCGACAAAACCTGGGAAGAAGCAACAAGGGTTGGTACTCTCGCCTTGCTCATATTCGCTATCACAACCTTCACCGCCTCGGTTTTCCTCCCGTTCATCGTCCCCCCGACATTTAAATCCCCTCTGCAGCATCCCGCAACCCCAATGACACCCACAACGCCCCGCTCGATGCACGGTTCCGGATACTTCTCCCTCAAAGGTGCGAAGCGCCCACCCAAAACCTTCTCCGAGCGCATATCAGCCTGGCTCGGACTCCTCCAAATCCCTGGGCTCACTCTCCGCCGCGCCTGGATGCTCTCGCACCTGATGTTCGCGGCGCTGATGTGGCTCACCATCTTCGTGCGCAGTACAGTCGCCGGAATCATCCTTGTCTCGCTCGTCGGCATCCCATGGGCCTTAACTAGCTGGGCCCCCTTTGCTCTCATCTCCTCTGAAATCTCCAAACGCGACGCCATCCGTCGCGGCTTGCTTCGACCCTCAACGCGCGAAGCAGCACTCATCGCCGAAGGCGAGGACGAAGCGAGCAGTGGGGGCGCGGATCAGGCGGGCGTAGTACTAGGGATCCATAATGTAGCTATTGCAGCGCCGCAGGTTATTGCGACGCTCGTCTCCTCTATTATATTCAGGATTCTACAGAAGCCGCGAGGTAGTCCGGGCGATGAGAGTGTGGCGTGGGTGCTGAGGCTGGGTGGATGTTGCGCGGTGGTTGCGGCGTGGTGGACTATGAGAGTTGGGGAGGAGAAAGAGGATGCAGATAATGCGGGATTGAGGAGGAGGCTGTCTTGAGTGATAGGTGGAAGCCTAGGAATGTGAATGAGAAGTGTGTTTTATAGTATGCGTTTGTTTGACTAGGATTTGCTTGCTTGCAGGGTTTTTGGAGAAAGGGGTGGATGGATTTATGGGCGCTTTGGCAGAGGTTGAATGTTACGGTGGAGATGTGGGCGCTTGGGTCATGGTGGTTGGGTTTGGGTCTGGGTTAGTCTTGGGGTGATGGATACCTTCCCGAGGTCGGATTTAGGAGATGTTCGGAGCTAGTATCTAGGTCAGGAATCAATCACGAGTTTACTTTACTTACTCGATACTGCAAATTAGTAGCGTAAATGGGGGCTCATTAGAAATGGGTCTTCGCGGAGAAAAACTGACTAGAAAGCAATTATATATTAGTTTATAATAGGTTAAGGTAACTACTTTAGGATAGGCAGACAGCATCCATCATTGTCTGAGGTGCCTTTTGTATTCTATGTAAAATCTTGTCTTGATGTTCTTGAATCAGTAGAAGTTTCTCGACCAGTATGATGAAGCGTAGTGTGCCCGTCTTCAAGACCGTAGTGTCAATTCACTTAGGTTTGTAGAAGTTGCATTTATCACAAAAGCAAACATGCCTGCCCGTCCCATTTATCTCGTGTCAATGCTCTTGAACTTGTAGAAATTGTCCAATATCTTATCCCACTCCCTTTAAACATCCCGGGAAAATGCCACTTTTACCAAAGTATCACTTTGAACTTGTTGCATGCAAAAGGCTAAGATGCATGCATTGTATGCAAACTTAATGTATATAGTTTTAATCTTAACAATTATTTAAAGGTTGTAATTAACGTTTAGTCTTTTCTTTATATAGACTAAGTAGTATTAGTAGTTTCTAAAAACACTATACTATTATATATCTACACATATATACTCTGATTAATATCTTTTTAGAGATTGCTTCCCCTGCTCCTTATACAGCAAACAAGGGCAAACCACGACCGGCCAGCCCTCCATACCCCACGTAGCCAGCGCCTCGGACTGTACCCCCGCGCCCCTGACTACTATCTTCCTCCTACTAGATCCTCTTATCCTCCAGGCCCGCGTACTAAACCAGTACAAGCTATTAAAGCCTACCTAGTAAGTAGATATTATAACATTAATTACGAACTCTTTTAAGAAGTATAAACCTCTTAACCCTTTTTATTAATGCCTTAATAGTAGGATTAGCACTATTAGAAAGTACTTAGCTACCTATACAAAATAAAGCAGAACTTATAAATAAATTAACAGCATGCAGCTAGAGATAGTAAACCTTTATAACATGCTATAAGAAAAGAAAAACATAATAGCTAAAAAGTTCTTTAGACTTATGCTACTAAAGCTTTTTAGTAAAGCTGCTAAAGACTTTAAACTATTCTTTACTTAATGCTACTGTCGCAACCGCTGATCAGGGAGCAATGAGGAGCAAGTCTATTGACTATGAGAGGCTCATAGGGAGCCTGCCTATGTAGTGGGAGCTCCGGCGCCAAATGTCTCAGGCTGCTCGTCCGAAACACAGGTGCGACACCAGGACCATGTGCTCTCTTACGCGACACACCCCCTAGCTCACTAAGAGTAACAAGGGGAGCTAAAAGAGAGCAGAGCAGCACAATGCGTAGACAGAGCAGCTAAAAGATCTTAGACAGAGCTGCCAGAAGAGCTTAGACAGAGCTGCCAGAAGAGCAAAACAGAGTAATAGAGAACAGTATAAGAACAAAAGAGAGTAGGGTAACTATTATAAGACACTTAGGGCGTAGGAGACAGCAAGCTCTTTGCACACGCAGTTAGTACATAGGAAAAAAAAAACAAGTGACGCTTTATTAAGCATGCTGCTAGTCTAGCTAGACCTAATCTATAACTTAATAAGAGCGCAAGCATGCAGCGTACAGTCTAGGCGCGCCGCGCTGTTAGGGATGCCATCTTAATCCACAACGTCCTCACTAAGCTTATGCCGTAATGCTGCTAGGGTATAGGGGACTCCTAGCAGTGACCTTTAAGATCTATCTTTTCTTTACTAGAGCATCTTGTAAACTGCTATATTATGCGCTCTCTAGTTACTTTTTAATCTAAGTAATTTCCTTATTTGTTAGTAGGTTATAAAGCTCCCTATTTATACATCTTTTAATTATGTACTTAAGGCGTCTGCAATGTATTAGCTTTTATAAGTGCTGTATGTTTAAATAGTAAAGGCAGAAGTGCTTTTTATCTAATTTTGTCTTAAAAGTTGTGTACACTTCTAGGCCTTTCTTCTTGTTTTGTACAAGCTAGGAGAACTAAGCAGTGTACTGCTTAAGCGTAAAAGCATTAGTAGTAGCGCCTAGTTAAGCTAAAGAGTCTAGCTTATATTAAGCCTACTTATAGTTATATTTAGCAGCTAAGTAGAAAAAGTTTTTAATAAAAAGCGCACCTTTAATGTCTTTAAGATTAATAAGCTTTGTGTTAGCATAAGCCTATATTTATTTAAGTAGCTAGTATGCTAGTAACTAATTCCCTTCTAATACTAGGCGTAGAGTAACCTCTTAATAAGTTATTTATACCTGCTCTTTTTAGTTATTATTACTTAGGTAAAAGTCCCTTTTAAGCTTTTTAATAAGGGTGTAGAGCAACTAATTGCTTGCCTATAAAGTTGCTAGCTTAAGTAGTTAGAAGTCTACTGTTGTATACACCTAGTTCTACAGCACCTAGAGCCTTAAAGAGAGCTATGTGTATATTAATGCCTTAATCTAATAGAGGCAGAGAGCCTCTAAGTTAGCTGTATTAAGATTAGGGATTGCAGGTGCTTTGCTTATTAGATTAGGCTGTAGTAGTGCATCTAGGTTAATTTAGTCTTATACGCCTTAAGCTTACGCAAGGTATTTAAGCTACGCATACTATAGTAGAAATGTGTAGCAATTAATAAGTTAAACACTTGTTAAAAGTGTAGTAACATTTACTAGTTAATATATAGCTTTAGTAAAGAAAGAGAGACAATAAAAGTAGATAATAAGAAGTAGGGAATAGATAAGTGCTTTAATTAACGCAACATAAAGGAATTTGCATAAACTAGGCCTATAACTGTCACAACTGCTAATTAGGGAGTAATAAGAAGCAAGTCTATTAACTATAAGAGGCTTATAGGGAGCCTGCCTATGTAGTGGGAGCTCTGGCGCCAAGTGTCTCAGGCTGCTCGTCCGAAACACAGGTGCGACACCAGGACCATGTGCTCTCTTACGCGACAGCTACTTATACATAGCTTATAACTAAGAAGCATTTTAAACTAATAAATAAATAATATAATAGATAGAGCTCTATATAAATAAACACTCTATAGTGTAGTTTTAACTACACGCTAATAACTAGAGGAACTATAAATTGTATAGTTAGCCTTTTTAAAAAGAAATAAGAAGAATATTTAAAAGCGTCTAAACATTTAAAGAAGCTTTTATAATAATATATAAGCTAGTAGATAAAAAAAGCATAGCAGCTAATAAAATAAACAGCCTACACTAAGAAAAAAGTTTAGTCTAGGTTTACGTAGCTAGGTTTAGAGAATACTAGGCACAGTACAGATGGACAGATTAAAAGGCACTATACAAGATGTTTTATAAAGAACTTAAAAACAGCTGTAACAACTAGCTATCTAGGTATGTCCTAGGTGTTACGACCTAGGATAGGGCTGTAAGCGAGTGTCGAACGGCATTAGAGTTATATAATCACTATTAGTAGGCAGCTCTCTTAGCTATACAGTACGAAGCTTGGCGAAGCCCAGCTAGAACGATTAGATTATAGTATATCGATTAGGCATAGTTGACCGCAATCACAGGACAATGGTTACTGCGGACAGAACAGTTATAATAATAAGTATATAGTCTTAATCTTAGCTATAGCTAGAGGGTGTAATTAAAGTTTAGTTTTATCTTTATAATAAAACTAAGTAGCTATAACTATTTCTAAAGATGTTATTACTTTTATATATCTTGTAACATATATACACTCTAATTATTATCTTTATAAGATTGTTTTTCTACTTCTTATACAGCTTAAGAAATAAACTATAATAGGCCTAACTTCTCTCCTCTTTCTCTTAGGCTATAAAGTTAGACTGTACATTCTACCTTAACCTAATCTTATTACTAACACCCTAACATAACCTAGGCCTATGCACCTAACGCACGTCCTTATTAGCATGTAATTAGTAAGTAGATATTATAACATTAATTACTACTTGTTACGATATCCACTTACTAGTCACGTGCTAATAAGGACGTGCGTTGGGTGCGCGGGCCTAGGTTAGGTAGAGGGTTCGTTTTAAGAATAAGTCTAGACAGGGTGTACAGTCCTGTTGTAAGACTTATAGAGGCAAGAGAGAAGTTTAGGCTAATTATAGTTTATCTCTTAAGCTATATAAGAAGCAGGGAAAACAATCTCTTAGAGATAATAATTAGAGTATATATAACGTACTTCACAGGCGAGTTGCTTACGCACCTAAGTCGCTTACTGTAACGGCACAGGCAAGACAATGGGTCCGAATGCGGTAGGAATCCACTTAGAGGCATATAGGAGTGCGTGGGGACTTAGAACCTAGGAATTTCTATTAACACCTATAGGCCTTGTACAAAGGATATTAGAAAACTACTAAGCTAGCTAAAAAAAAAGAGGTGTAACTAAATACTTAGAAAAATAAAAGTAACTGTAAAAGATAGAGTTAAGTTATAGTTAAAGCTAATATAAGAACCTTTTAGATAGGTTCTAAGTAACCTAAGATAAAATAATTTATAAAAATTATTACACTACTGTCTCTTTTTATAAGCTAATAGTTTTTATTTATAGTATATAAGAAATATTTAAAACTAATTTAAAACTAATTTAAATAAAATGTAATAAAGTATAACTTTTTAATAAAAAAATTTTATTACTAAAAAAATATAAACTAAAAACTTAATACTAATATATGTAAAGATAGGATAGTAGGTAGCATAGATAGCACTAAGAGCAAGCTTTTAGAGAAAGATAGAAGTGTATTGTAAGAGAGACAAATCGCTGCTAAGCTAAGCTTGTTAGGATTTATGCTTATATATAAAGAATAGGTCATGCAACCTCTAAACAGGTTAGAAAAGGCTATACTAGTCTGTTCTAGAACATCTAGCCTTACATTATCCCCTCTTATAGTAGTCCTACAACTTAAAGAATAGAACAGATAATAATAAGCCTAAGTAGCATAAAAAAGTGTTATATAATGCCTTAAAAGCTTACTCCTGCTTATTTTAGTTAATTTTATATAACTTTATTTAAAAACAACTTAAAT